AGTTGTTTACTTTACGTCTTTGGACTCTGAACTTAGATTTTAGACGATTATTTTCGCCGGAATACATGTGCTTTGTTCTTTCTTTTTCTTTTTTAACCCTTTTTTTGTCCCTTTGGGAATTGGTTTGTTCATTTACAAACTAAAACACCTAAGGTTTTGCCGGACGAGTATAGCTGCTTATATTTATAAGATTATTAGTTTATATATATATATATATATATATATATATATATATATATATATATATATATAACATATAGTTTTAGGTTTATATGCTATATTTATGGGTCAAAGTGCTCAATATCAGAGACAGGGCATATGCAAATATAAAAGTGGATATTGAAATCACCATATATATATATATATATATATATATATATATATATATATATATATATATATATATATATGCCTGTGTCACTGTTTTATCTCTTCCCAAAACTGGGTTCTGTATAACTGTTGATTGTATCACGTGACAATGACTTTATCTGCAGAGTGATGGATGGTCAGATATTTTTCTTTATGGAGGCTTGCTTCATTGAGTGCATCCGCGTGCCTTTTCCTCCTATCTGCATTCGAATAATTCCGGAGACAGCATTATTACATATCAGTGACTGACATAGCCTTCGCCATTCTTGCAGCGCTATCAACGAGGAAACGGAAGGATTCGTGGAAAGGACGACGGAATGGCAGCGAAGATAAGAGATTAGTTCAATATGAAATGAAAGAAGAATGGCAGTCGACATTGAATAGATGGCAAGGAATGAAAAAGGCGCAAGATTGATAGAAAAGAAAGAAGAATTAATGAAAGAAGAAAAAAAGAGACGAGGAGGAGACAACGACTCCGACTAATACTACTAAACTCTAAAACATAAACACACGCACACACACACACTTTCTTTCACACACACACACACACACATATATGTATTCTGTGAAAATTATTAGGACGACATATATATATATATATATATATATTTTATCTATTATATATATAATATAATATATATAATATAATATATATATACATATATATATTATAATATACATATTATATATATATATTATACATATTTTGTTAAAGTCACAAGGACAACATATATATATATATATATATATATATATTATTATATATCATATATATATAATATGTCTGTTATATATTTAATATAATGTATATAATATAATATATATATAATATATATATATGTTATATATATATTATACATTGTATTATACATATGTGAAAATTGTAAGGACGACATATATATAATAAACGAAAAATGACATGTTCAGCATTAATTAATCATAGCTAAGGATCTGAGTGTCATGAAGGATTGAAATAACGTTCAAATATATATATATATATATATATATATATATATATATATATATATATTATCTTAAAATTATGAGGATAACTTAAAGAAACGAGGCTATTTTTTTAAAAGATAAACGAAAGGTAGGATATAGCAGGGAAATGGAAAAAGGAAAAAACATAAGAAATTGGAGAGGCTGAAGTTTGCAAGGCTCAGTGACTGGAAGGACATAAGCTTGTGGACGACAACGACGATGATGATGATGATAAGTAGGAGGAGGATGATAATAGTGATGATCATGATAGAACGATAATTAAGCAAAAACTAATGATGCAGATGTTAGAGTATCATTATTATTATTATTATTATTATTATTATTATTATTAGTAGTAGTAGTAGTAGTAGTATTAGAAGAAGAAGAAGAAGAAGAAGAAGAAGAATAGCGAATGAGGAGATACATGTTCCAAAGAAATGATGGCATGATAGAAGGAGCGGAGGAGGAGAATGAGGTACAGTGTGAGATGAAAGCATGATATGAGATGAAAACGTTGATAGCAGAATTACAAGAAGAAGAAGGAAGGGGAGGAAGATGCATATCGAAGGAAATGGTGTCGTGATAGAAATGGAGGAGGAGGAGGGTTCAGGATGAGACTAAATCATGATATAAGATTAAAACGTGATAGAAGACGTAGACTTTAGAAGAAAAGGAGGAGGAGGCGCAGAGCAAGCGCAAGTTCATACAGAACGATTAATAATTGATAAAAAAACAAAAATAAATGCAATCTGTAATCAGATATATATGGAATATTCAACAAAGTTATTATAAAATCTGAAATTGGCAAGAAATGAGAATAATACGTTATGATATCTAAAAATAGTATGAATTAGAAAAGAACATAGCATATGTAAAATAGCAAAGGGTCTGTTAATTTCTGATTAAGCAGTATGGGAACTTTGGTTATGGACGGTTTAAACAGATTAATTCCACGGGATATTAAAGTTATTGGCGCTTTAAGGTGTCAGATGAAAAAGGACAATAAATGACAAAAAAATAACACGATTATCTGTGTTTGCTAAACCGGTTGATAAGAAAAAAGAAAATATTTTAAACCGAAAGAGGAACAGACGACATAATTTTCGGCTTGCACGTTTCCATACTTCCGCCATTGGTGAGTATTCATTTTTTTTCAATATCAAGATCCACTCAGAGTAGAGGGTTACTGAAGGCGAATGTTTTTGACCGGCAAAAGTAAGAGTTCAATTGATATTTGGGGAAAATAACGGTTAATCCTAGATTTAAAAATCATTTAAAGATCTTAGTAGTCGGGAAAGGATATTTTGAGTGTCGTTGGCTCGGCCAAAAATATAGCCTTTTTGAACCCGCCTTGACGGATTCCGATCCTGTCTACCTCCCCGAACGAAACCTTGCCCTTCGCCAAAGCTTCGTCCGGGTTCCTCTCTGCTAATGCAGAGAGTTCGACAGACGCCGACTCGGAAGCTCACAAAGGCAGCGTACTACACTTTGATCCTAGCCTCCAGGCCGAGCAGCTCAAAAAGTAGCGGTTCGTAGACAGATACTGTTCGAGTAGAAAGTACTCATCACTCATGACAGAAGAACTGAATGAAAGTAGTTCGCCCCAGGGAGCGGCGTGACAGGTCCTAGCTGTTAGGGATAGTGAAACTAAGGAATGTAATTCGTCTGAATTTCTTCATGGAAATAGAGGTAGTGTATGTCTATATATCCGAGATGAGGTATTATGTACACTATTTAAATTATTTGGACTATTGACGTCATCTTTGTCGCCATATTAATTACAACGTTTCGGCCGTTGTACGCTCCATCCTTCTTCAGGTGGTTGGAATGTCTTCAAGAACATTATCAATTATTTGTTCTAGTGCCATATTTAATGGATATCAGTTTTCAGCTATCTCCTATTAATTCCCCTCTACAAGTTCCCCACTGCCTTGACCGGGTATTGAACTCGCACTCTTTGGGTCCTGTCACTGGATCTAACGCCTTTATCCACTGTGTCCTTGAAGACTTCTGTGTATGAATTTCTGTGTATTATAAACCTAATGTCTTCAGCAACCATGGAGAAAAAAGGGAGATCACTGCTCTCTGTGGTATCAGTTTGAGATCATAGACAAAGAACACAATTGGGAAATTAAGGAATCAGCACATATGCTAGGCCACAAAAATCTCCTGAGCCAACCAAGCATAGACATGAATACAATATGGGAACCAGTAATAAGAAGTGCCAGAGAAAAGCGATAATAACAAAAATTGCTATAGGAGCTCTGGTAAAAAATTATTGCTGATAACATTATGTTTATAATACCCAGAAATTCATACACAGATGTCCTCAAGGACAAATGGCACAGTGGATAAAGGCTTTAGTTAGATCCAGTGACAGAACCCAAAGAGTGTGAGTTCAATACCTGGCTAAGGGGTGGAGAACATTCAGAGGGAAATTAACAGGAGATAACTGATAACTGACATCCATTAAACATGGCACATGGAACTAGAACAGTCTAGCCCAGTGAGCGAAATAAAAGGTTCAGGTCAATATTCCAACCACCTGAAAAAGACGGAGCATACAACGGCCGAAAGGTTGTAATAAATATGGCGACAAAGATGAGGACAATCGTCCGAATAATGTAAATAGTGAATGAAGGTAGTTCGCCCCTGTTAGCGGCGTGACAGGTCTTAGCTGTTTGAGTTAGGCTGTTTGAGTTAGGGATGGTGGCACTAAGGAATATAGTTCGTCTGAATTTCTTCGCGAGAGGCTTGCAATGTTTCATCTGTGTGTTAGTGGATGGAAGTTATCAAATCCCCACAAGGCCGCGTAGAGTAATTTGATCACCACCAATACTGGAGAGTGGAGATTGTGCATATGGCAGCAATATATGACATCAGTACGCCATTTTGGCTTGATTTGGCCGTTGCAAAAGTAGATTATACCTGCAGGTGTCCAAGAAAATGACGCGTTCCGGGCGAGCGTTCTCAGCTGACATGGCGTGCAATATCTACATTGTATTCATTACTAGATCGGTTATCCAAGAAAGTCGAACGAGACAATTTTTCTCTTCGGTATTTATCTTACATATCTACACGTCTACAATTCGCCTACATTTAGAATATTGCTGTCATATATGTTGAGGTGTCCCTTATATTTTACTGGAGCTCTTCGATAACGTCCAAAGAAGAACCAGGAATATTATTTGACCTAATGTCGCAACTCGTATTCAGTCACTTTCCTACCGTCGTATGGACACCTCAGGGTAATGTTATAGTCTCTCTAGACCAATTACGACTCGGCAGTGAGTTCGATCCTCACTGGGTGCACCATAAATTCGGCCTTGTGTCACATGTAAGCTACGCTTGGAAAATCACTATATATTTATAAATTTATTGGGGACATCTCGAAGCGATGTAATGGTTAGCGAGCTTGTCTCGCTAGAACAATTACGACTGTGTAGTGAGTAGGATCCTCACAGGGTGCCCCCTACTTTCGGCCTTTTGCCAAATCTAAGCTGCTCTTGGAAAATCACTACATATTCATATATTAATGGGGGACATCTCGAGGCGGCGTAATGGTTAGAGCGCTTGTCTCGTTAGAAGAATTACGACTGTGTAGTGAGTTCGATGCTCACTGGGTGCACCATAGTTTCGGCCTTGTCCCACATCTAAGCTACGCTTAGAAAATCTTTAGGTCACCTCGTTGGGGTGTAGTTGTTAGCAAGATTGTCTCGCTAGAACAATTCCGACTGGTTAGTGAGTACGAACTTCACTGGTTTACCCCTTACTTTCGGCCTTGTGCCACATCTAAGCTATGCTTGTAAAATCCCTATATATTTAGATATTTATGGGGGACACCTTGAGGCGGTGTAATGGTTAACGAGCTTGCCAACTTGTTACGACTGAATATAGAGTTCGATCCTCACTGGGTGCCCACCTACTTTCGACCTTGTGCCACATCTAAGCTATACTTGGAAAATCGCTATATAAGCAGCACCTCATGGCGGTGTAATGGTTAGCAACCTTGTCTTGCGAGAATAATTACGAATGAGTTGTGTGTTCGATTCTTACTAGGTGCCCCATGCTTTCGACCTTGCTTGGAAATTCTCCATTTGCCTACCGTCGTAAGTTTGCCTTTCATAGTAATTTTTCGGATAAGTTCTTCGCTCTCGTACTTCGCCTCTATGAATTTCAGCGCAATACTAGACTGACGCCGAGCTCGCATAAATTTACAGTTGAGCTAACTAGACGAAACTTCTAAATAAGACTTGCGTAGAATTAATACAATATGGGCGTCGCTAATAGACGTAGATTAGGTTTAAAGTTCCAGTTTCACTAAAGTGGATTTAAGCGTTCCTTTCTGAATTTGGTGACATATTAATTGTGGGTTCACTCATTGGGTGGGGCAGTGTGGACTTGGACTCTGCAGAAACGGAATAAAAGAGAAAGGAATAACTGAGCAGTACTGGATACGAACGAGACGAGATATCTCTTGTCATGGGCAGTGACACGATAACAATCTATCTCCATAGATTAAATAAATAATTCAGTTAAGAATTCCCTGGAAGTTAACCGGATCAACAAGCACTTCATGAAGGCCGAATGACAGAATGACCGAAACGCCGTGTTGAAAACAACACTCATCTCTCTCTCTCTCTGTGTTTATATATATATATTTATTAAAGACATTTTTATGTTTAACGTTGTTATTTTATAGATACAAGTATTTAAGCAAATGCTCTGTTTATGATAAACAGTATTAAATAACATTTACCGGCCTGAATGTCCGAGAAATTTTCATAGAAAATATTCGTTCTTTGACAGGATTCGAACCTGCATCCAATACGGAACCGTCATATACGCTGACGTGCCTTACCTCTAGGCTACAAAGAACCGTTCGGTAGACAAGGTCGAATTTACTGCTTATAAACTCCAATCTTCTATGAATCTCGTACCTTCATAACTGCTCTGGCGTATCGAATGTAAACAAATGACGTCATATATTAAGAAATGGACAAGGTCCTGTCAAAGAACGAATATTTTCTATGAAAATTTCTCGGACATTCAGGCCGGTAAATGTTATTTAATACTGTTTATCATAAACAGAGCATTTGCTTAAATACTTGAATCTATAAAATAACAACGTTAAACATAAAAATGTCTTTAATAAATAAATTGTCGGACCTTGTCCATTTCTTAATATATATATATATATATATATATATATATATATCTGAGATGAGGTATTATGTACACTATTTAATTTATTCGAACCCAGAGACATTAGATAAAGAATTGGTTAGTATAATTAGTACCCTACAACGTAACAACTACCCTGGGTACATGGCAGCAGCCACAAAAAAATTGGGACATGCAGGGTACAAGAGGAGGACAACAACACTCAGAAAACCGTCTGCCTGCCGTATGTGAGGGGGTTATCAGAGAAAATAAAAAGGATCTGAGGTCCATATAACATCAGGACAATCTTCCAAAGCTGATATCTCTCCCGCGTAAGAACCCCCCCCCCACACCATAGAGGAGAACAATACTGTGTGTACGCTATCCCGTGCAGCTGCGGAAAGAAATATAAAGGTGGGAGCAGGCTTCCCTCTTAAGGTAAGGCTTTAAGAACGCCAGAAAGCTGTAATACGAGGGGAAGTAGAAAAATCAGGCGTGGCGGACCACATATGGAGAGAAAAGGGAGATCGCCGCCCTCTGTGGAATCAGGTTGTGATCATAGACAAAGAACACCATTGGAAAATTCGTAAACCTAATGAATCAGCACATATGCTACGCCACAAAAATCACCTGAGCCGACCAAGCATAGAAATGAATACAATATGGGAACCAGTAATAAGCAGAGCCAGAGAAAATAGATAATAACAAAAAAAAATTGCAATATGAGCTGTGGTAAAAACATGATGGATAACAGCAATAATTGCAATATGAGCACAGGTAAAAAATGTGCGCTGAAGACATTAGCTTTATAATACACTAATGTCCTCAAGAACACATGGCCGTGTGGATAAAGGCGTAGTTAGAACCAGTGACAGGACCGAAAGAGTGTGAGTTCAATACCCAGTTAAAGCAGTGGAGAACTTGGAGAGGGGAATTAACAGGAGATAACTGATAACTGACATCCATTAAACATGGCACGTGGAA